GTTCTGGCCGCTGTATTCGTTGAAGAAATATCCTATTCTTGTTTCAAATGTTGGTAACAACCTTCCATTTATACCAGCTCCAGATCATTGTAGTCATTATTCCGGGAAACCTAAATGGGATGTGTCGCATGGTACCAGAAGTTTCAAGCTTCCATGGTAGCCGATGCCATATAAATTAGACGTTCTGAGACGTAACTTTTGGTTCAACAATAGCCCTCTTATCCCTGTCGAACAAATCCGATACTTAGGACTCTACCTTGACAAACGACTCACTTGGAACCCCCATACCAGACTGAAACGACTATAAACCGCCCGAAGTTTTCGACTACTGCAGCACTTACTAGACAAACGCTCTAAGCTTTGAATCAATTACAAACGACTCATATATATGACAATAATAAGACCTATTTGGACTTACGGAATTGAGCTTTGGGGCTCTACTAAACCATCTAATTCCTCTCGTATCCAACCCTTACAATCCAAAATCCTCAACGCTCCCTACTTTGTTACAAATAAAATCATCCATAAAGATCTTAATGTTCCATATATTTCCGATTTGGCCCAATCCAGATATCTATCCTTCCATAACAAACTGCAGAACCATCCGAATCCTCTCGTTTCAAACCTTGTTTCCTCCTCGATCCCTGATAATCCTCTGAGGCGACTGAAAAGAAGATGGCCTCGGGACCTTCTAATATAGAACTTTAATTTGAGTTCTACCAATGGGTAGTTTCTCTTCATGTTGTACATGTCATGTTACCAATGTCACATTTACTTATTGTAGTTTCCATGTAATACAGTTGTAAATCTCAATAAAATAAAATTAAAAAAAAAAAAACTTTAGGGAAAATGTATAGGCTTGGCAACTGTTTTCTTTTTCTTCTTTCCTTGCCTCTCGGCGATGGTAGAATTAATGCGCTACTTCTACAACTTATCCTCTGGTTCTTCGGTCTTCGTTAGTGGAGGTTGAAATTATCATTCTAGAGATGGGTGATAGTCGATAGTACTATCAATATTCCTAGTGATTATTGATAGTTCGTATCATCCCCTATGACACAAATGATTTTAAAATTGTATACACTTGAAGAAATAATTTTAATAACACGCCTTCAAACTTCTACTCATTCATTCATTGATGTACGAGATATAGTGATAATATAATAACGCAAAAGTAAAAAGTTTGATAATGGAAAATTCTTATTGTGTAATGGAAACAGCACATTAAGAAAATAAATGGATGGTGATGTGAAGGTGTGTTTAAAGCTATCCTTATCAATATATAAAACAGAGATAAAATTGAACAAGAAGAATCCTTCATAAAAATAAATTTAATCTCAAATTACTTTCTTAGAGATATTATTACACTTCCAATTGTGCCGATGGAAAAAAATGTTACATTTACCTCGCCTTTTTATTTATTTTTTTATTAAAAAATATATTTATAAAATCTACAAGCATGATATTACAGTTTCCTTAAATTTTAAACTAAGTAATATTATCAAAATAAATTTAGAAAATTTGAATTTTGGAAATTAAAATGCATTAGCATTTTTCGCATCTTTTTTTTAGTAGGGTGTTAAAAAAATGGTACCTATATGTCGTGGATTTTCCTTATCTGAATTCTACAATAAGGAAAATAAATGCAATTTGTTTTTCTATAATATAAACGTATTTTCCCGTTAATAATTAGTGCCTTTTATTATTGGCTTAACAGAAATCTTTAAGGTTATATCCAATATAAACGTTATTTATTATAAAGTTTATGCAGCATTTTAAGAAGTAAAGGAACTATCGATACTATCCACAGTGGAAAACTATCGACTGTCGCCCATCCCTAGATCATCTCCACCGATTCCTTCCACCTGTACACGAATTCTTCGTGATACGGGTAGATATCCTTACTTACTAGCTGATGGAAATCGTCCTCCGTGATGATGTAGAGTCCGGTTTCCCTGAGTAATTTGGCCCTTATTGCTTCAAAAGGCTTGGCAACAAAATAATTGCGGATTTTTGAGGGAAAAACAACACAAATTTATTTCGTAATGAAATATATTCAATCTGTAATATGTTCTCCATTTTTATCAATGATTTTAAGCCAAATTTCAGATAGAATCATGATTCCACGTTCGTAAAAATGTCGATGTTTAATACCAATAAAAGTGATCCAAGCGTGTTTTAACATCGTTGCCGTTGATGAATTGTTCAAAATTTCTGCAAAGAACAAAATAAATAGTAATGAGGAGGAGCAAGGTCTGTATTGTATTGTAAGATATTTGTGGTCTTACATTGTCGTGGTGGAACATTACATTTCTCCGGTTTACCAACTCAACTTTTTGTTGTTTTTCCAGGTCCAGTGCGGTCAATTGTTGAATATACACATTTGAATTGATTTTTTTGGTTGCGCGGTAATGGTTCAAAATTGATAATGCCCTTGTAATCCTTCCAAACTGATAGCAAAACTCTTTGTTGGTGAATATCAAACTTAGATGTTGTTTTTACCGATTGATTTTTCCCGCTCTGTGATCTTTTTCGCATAACATTATTCCGAACCACCCATTTTTCATCACCTGTAATCAACTGTTTTAATCATTTCGTTTGAACGACAAATCACTGAGATTAACTCGTTGTTATTCGGGTCAAATGAATTTCTTTGAACTGATGACGAACTCATTGATAAATGTTTTTCTTATATCCAAGTTGTCCAAACTCTTTTCGATGCACTTATGTGATACACCGGGATTCTCTGATATCTCACTAGTAGAGCTATGACGATTTGCGTTGATTTTCTTCAACTTCATATGGTTTGTTCGTCTTTCAGTGAAAAATCTACCGTATGATACATTAATTAAACAATTAAATAACGTTTATTCTGATTTCTAAACAAATATAAGAAGAAATTACTACCTTAGTGATGGAGCTATGATTTCTATTTTGAGCTGTAATTTATTTTTGACCTTCGAACTTGCTCTTACAATAGTGTCATTATGCAACACATCGTCATCGTCATTTTATTTTTCAAAACTAATTGCTAGTTAAAAAAAAAAAAAACTACAATTCTTTAATTAAACTTACTTATGTCAGTTAAATATTAATAGAAAATTTGTAATAAACTTAAAATCATTAGAGTGAAATTAGACTTAATTAATACAATTAATTTTAATTGGAAAGTTGTTTGGTGTTCGGCTGTGTTAAAATCAGCACGAGTTATTTGATCCTAGTTACTTAATTATTCAAGCGTTACTGTTCAAATGTATCAATAGTGCTTAGTTGCCATTTATCAGGATTAAAGTGATTAAACCTTTAACTTTTAAACATCTATGAAAAACATAGGTAAATAAATTACATGTACATCTGCGGCATTTGGCAGAAGAGAACATATCTACTTTTTTAACTAGTTTGGGATTTAGACTGTCAAATTATATTATTAATTGCTTGATAATTATAGACCATTATTAAATGGATTAAATTAAGATTAGCCATGTATGTGTAATGTATATATATCTTATCTATTAGATATATTTATGTTACCAATTAATTTAAATGAAGTTTCAGACTAGTTATTATCTGATAATTTTATTCTTACTAATTGATATATAATTTTTTCTTCCAATGATGACGTTTTTATTCTCATTGATCAGTGTAAATTAAATTTTAAAAAAATATAATAACATCTCTCCGTAATTATTTTAATTTCGGGATGGTTTGGATTGTAGTAAAAAAAATGGCATACAGTAATGAGAACTAATTATTATTAATATATATATCATGATATTATATGATTTAATAAATGAATAAATAATAAATAATAAATAATAATAGAATTATTGAAGGGAGCTAGTCGACTGTTCTACATATCCTGGGTGATAAATTTCAGGACGCAGTCATTATAACAATTTGTGCTGACGTTTTAACGAAAACATGTTGGTCGTTCGTGGTTCGGGCACTGAAGGCTTTCAGGTACTACAGTAGTACGTCGGCAGAAATAACAGATTTTTATAAAGACTGCATCCTGAATATTTATCACCCATATATAATAATAAATGGAAGAAGTAAGAGGGAAATATATTCCTTCGAAACGCTTCGTATAATAAAAGTAGATATTTTTTGTTAAAAAACTTTATGGTGACATGTGTTAGGGAATGGACTTAATGTTTCAATTGTTTTTTATTTGTCGCTATAATAAAGGCGTTATAGTTAATTATGATAAATACAGCACATGTTGATGCGTAATTGTATAAATGATTAATGTTGAATAAAAGTCATAGTTGTTATTCATGTCTTTTTCAGAATGAAAAAAAATAATAATACTGGTCGTTTAAGAAGAATAATTGTTGCAATTAATTTGCTTTTGTGGAATCTATTCTCTTGGTCATCTCAGGCTACGTGATCATCCCAGCGTAGTATCCTTCATAATTATTACCGTCCATTAGAATCGTTTATTTATTTGTTATGGCTAACATCGTTATGTAATTTAATGTATCTTCGTATGTCGTAGTGTTGCCCAAAATCGGTCTTGAACTGTTGCAAGACCAAGACCAGGATTGATTTAAAAAAATGGATTTTTTAAATAAAAATTAAGGCAAAATAGTTACTAATACTTGACAATCTTAGTTACTATATGTTAATAATTGGTAAAACCAATATACTTTTGCATTTAACTCCTCTAATTATCCATTCGAACTTAGTTAGGTTTCTCCTCCCTAAAAAATTACAGTAATATCTCTCTCTTATTTAAGCTAATAAGTAACTGCAAGACTGTTGCGAGACTCTTGCACAAGATCAAGACTCGTCCCGGTCTCGCATTTTGGCAACACTAGTATGTCGGCATTATCATTGATATTAAGTCAAGTAGCTATGCATTTTTATAGTATAGGAAAAAAAATTGTCTTTTATAATTTGTCTTAAAAAATGTGTCTTATATTTAGAACAAAGTTGTCTGATATAAATAAATTTATTACTTTTATTATTTGTTGCAGTGATATGGGATGGTGAAGAGTGATATGGTGGGTTGGGGATGGGCCATCTTGCTGCTCGCGGTAGAGGCCTCAGCCCACTTCACAAGCCAATGGGCTGCCCATATCGAAGGCGGGCTCCAAGAAGCCCAAAGGATAGCAGGTACACATGGATTCGTCGTATTAGCTGAGGTAGGTAACCGTATTATTTTACTTCTGTATTATTGTAAGACTCCTAAACCAAAAAAAAAAAATCATCTGGACAGGAACTGGTAAAATCAAGTATACACAAATCCGAAATTGACCAGATAAAATATGTGCAGCCGAAGTACTCGATTGAGTTTAAGTGCATGCAACAAATGCACTAGCTTACAAGTTCAAAGGAGTTTCACTGATAATAAATAAATAATTAAAAATAAACAGGTAATATTTAAATAATTCATTCACTCCTACCTCTCGAGTTTCGCCAGGTTTTTTTTTTTTTTCCCTACCTCGCCTTTTAGGCTATACGGGATTTTCCCGGACCAGAGGGTGAGGGCGGGGAATTTAAAATCCCCTCTGGCATCACGCGAACTCGTGACTATTTTCATATCATAGAATCATATATCCGGTTGCCGGGCAACGGCGGTGCAGTGCACACGCGTTAGCCCATTCGGCCACCCCGCCCTCGAGTTTCGTCGGGCTATTAGAGGCAATTCACTCCGGCCAGGTGTAGGAGTTATGACTTTATACTTTAGTCGGTAATCGGTAATGTGGTATTCCAGAATGTAAGTAACCTCCACAGTTTTGGTCCATAGGAGGTCTGTTTCGGGGAATATAGGTCTTCATGCGTCTGCCGATTTTTAGCGGCCATTATCCAAAGTTCAAGACTGATGTATCACTGCCCTTCATCAGATTGGCCCCAAGGGTTCGTCATGATGACTATTTGAAGGATATTTTTATATTTTCATATAAAAATATAATTTGAATATTTAATTTAATAGATTATAATTTAGTTTAAATAAAAAATAATAATATATTGCGATTTCATATAAGATTGTTTTTTTTAAATTAGTAAGCTTAAAATGAATTTATTTTTATTAACACGATGGTTTTTAGAAAATTAAAAATTGAAAGTAATGTATAATAAACAAAATGCACTGGCAGTTTTTCAACTGCCTCCCGCAGTGCTACATCTTACGCCCTGACGATGACCTGCAAAGTGGGTCGAAACGTCTTCAAAAATTAAATAATACTATTTGTATAATTTAGTATTTATTTGACCGCATCCCCCGATCAACTCCTTCTCATATAATAAACAAAGAACTATACAAAAGCGCTAGTCATAAAATATTCAATAATAACGGGTTAGTGACTCGATGTTTTTTGATTTATAGAAGTAAAACGTTGGTCCGAAAACTAAAAACAATTTTGAGTTCTAGCTTTAAATATAACCGATATTATGCAAATACCAATATTTTTATTATTATTGTGGGTCGATGGTTGACTGTCGTGAATAATGAAGGATGGTTGCTTCACTTTTACTGTTAATGGAGAATAGAATTTGTATACATACCTACACACTCACTTTTTTATTTTCTTACTTTTTTTGGCGAAAACATTCAATTTAACCATTAAAGCTAATCATTTTCTACTGAATTTACAATGTTATTTAAAATTTCTAGTGTCATATTAAAAATTCAATTAAGATTTATAATAGCAACAATGTTTTAAAATGTATTGACAATATTTATTTGTAATTTAATAATTTATTTAAGCTGATTAATATTTTTAGTAAATAAGTATTTTTACGAGTTTCCGGCTCCGAGTTTGTAGTTATTAAAATCCAACCCTTAATTTCTATTCCAAAATTCATAATAAAAAAAAAAAAAGCTCTTATTTTATAGATACATGTTAACCACTGCTAAGGTAATGACATAGAAGAAATAAAACATTGCTCATTATCAGCCCACATTTAATTATTAGTCCCTCCATGATTATCTTTTCTTGATAAAATATATTTTTTTAATTTTTATTTTGTTTAATATTTAAGACCATGCCATTAACGAACTTAAAAATAAAAAAATAAAACATGAAATTAACTAGTGTGGCGGACTAGTTATCATGAAGGGACAGTTTGTGGGACAGATGTCAGAACTCCAGATTAGATGTGTGTCACTGATAAAGGGAATTGGTAATGTGACAGGCAGCCCTTAAAGTGACAGCTCACAATTGGATATTAACCACCATGTCACATTTTTAGCAACTTTTATCTCTATCCATATTGTGAATTTCGTGAGCATGTAAAGTTAATGTGGAGAATTATTTTAAAATATATATTTATGTTGTTAATATGGAATGTATATATTTTTTTTTTATTTCTGCAATTTAAATATGTATTAAAACAAACATCTAGTAAATGTGAACTGAAGAATATGATGACATAAAAAGGCTTTTTAAAAAAGACTACCCATTGGTAACAGTCTGATAAAAATTCTACATCAAGAGATCAGGAGGCCATATTTTTTTCAAACCTGGGAGGGTTATTAGGTACAGAAGAGGAAGCAAGGTTAGAAATGAGAGGATTCGGATCTAAAGTTTATTATGGAAGGATAGGTATCTGGATTGGACCAAATGAATAAATACATTTGGACCAAATACATGGTAGATTAAGGTCGTTTAGGATGATGTTATTTTTGACAATATAGAAACATTGAGGATTTTGAATTGTAAGTAATTCGATGGTGTAGTGGCTCAACATAGCTCTGTAAGTCCAAATAACCCTTAATGGAAATAGAAAATAAACTTTATTCTGGGACGATGCCCCCTTAGAATAACAATATTGAACAGTTATAAAAGAAAATATACACATCTGGCCAAAAACTAACTTAATAATGATTCAAAAAATATATACAACTTAAATAGTATTATGTATATTACTAAAAAATAAAATAAAATCTCCTCAACTATACTTTTAATTTTACTGGAAAAATAAAAAAAAGAAAAAGAAAAGAAAACTCAATTACATGTATAGAAAGAAAAAGCAAAACCTCCAGAAAAGACAAAATATATAAAAAATACTTAAATTAAAAAAAATTGACTTTTGTTAAAACCCAAACAGCTAAAGCTTACAAAACATATATTAAAAATATATTAATGACATAAGATGAGCAACGGGATCACAATATTGCATTATCTCAGCACAAGGGGTGTAAAATAAGAATAGATAGATAAATACAATTAGGAAGGGACATTAAATTAATTTTATGAGAAAACAATTGCAACCAGAAAGGAAAAATAAAAATGATTTAAAGAAAATAAATTATTTATATATATAATATTGTCATGTATATGAGTGTTTTGTAATTAATTGGAAGCTCAGCGCGTTTGTCTAAATAATAATAATAATAATAATAAATATAAATAAAAAGCATCTGTCTAGGAAGTGCTTGAAGTAGGAAGTGCTCTGTTCGTTTCAGTCTTGTTTGAGATTTCAAATGTGCTCAGGTGTAGTCCTAAATATCGGAATTGTTCAACAGAAATAAGTGTAGTATTATTAAATGATATTTATAGATTTTAAGTTATACGTTTACGACGGAGAGTGAAGGTGATTTGATGCGATTTGTTGGTATTCATTTTACTCCTGTAGTTTGGACACAACTTTCAAAGTTTGTAATGCGATAGAAAAAAATATCTTTAAACTTTTGCATTTTTTTTTATATATATATTATAATAAGTAATAGATTTTGTAATAATCGGTATGAACAAGAAGTAATTGAACTTATTTTGAATCGCTTTTTAAAGTATTTACATCATCAACTAAGTTGAAACATTTACATATAATTTCTTATCTGGCAATTCAATAAACCGTTACAGTGTGGATAATAAATTCTTACCAATAGATACATTTTCGTCAGTTTAATCTTAAAGCATTAGTAACCATATGTAGATAAATACGGTAGGAACAAATATACAGAAATTTATAGATGCTGATGTTTAGGATCAAGAATAGCCATTGGTGTACACCACAGAGCTTGAGGATGGTAATGTCCTTTCAACGTTTTACATCATGCGTGACGGAACGTGACAAGGAAGTGGGGATATCACGCTGTAACTGAAAAATGATTTATGATAATAAACTTCTTTTATTAAATATGAAATTATTGTATTGAATCTTTAATAGTTGACCGTTGCATTATAAAGGAAGGAGATGGTCCGGGGTTGCGGTCATAAATAGGCTAAATAGTGGTAAAACTATTTTATTGAAAGCCGACGTTTCGACCCGACTTTGCAGGTCTTCATCAGGGCTAGAACGGACAAGATACAAAAAGATAGAGAATTGTGGCAATTACATAATATTTAGACATAATTTATAAACAATGTGAATAAGCTTATTAAAATTATAAACAGTAAGTACAATCAAATATGGACAAAGTAAGCTGAGTAACAAGATCCTGAACTGAAGTAAATAGATACTAACAATTGTTGTGATGTAATATATAATAAATGAAAATGTGAATATACTTCTACAAAATCTACAGGAGATAAAGAAAATTAGAGACTTGCAGATGTGTTCATCTAGGAGTTTCACTTAAAACTGGAAAGGCAACGGTAAGGATAGCAGGTGTAGGGGAAGCTAACATGTGTTAACTGGGTAAACTGGGAAAAACCTAGGAAATTACAGTATCTAAAAATTTTGAAGATATGGATGGATACAATGGAAAAATACTATATCTATGAAATATTAAATTATAAATATACACATAAAATAGAGTTGAGAAATTCTTGATCAGAGTACAATGTGAATAAACCCAAAATTGGCAAAAGTAAAATATAAATATAGAAATAACTTCATTTACATACATACATTGCAGAGCTAACTTAAAAGTATAGAGAGGGAAAAAATTTATAATTATAATTATATTTGGTTGTACATATGTAAGAAAATTACATTTGAATATTAGTTAATATTGAGACATTTTTAATAAGTAAAATTAATACAAAGTGGAAAAAGGATGATCATAAATTGATGTAGAATGTAATGTAAATTTATAATAAAATAAAAGAGAGATCGTACAAAGAAGGAATATTTAGAATAATGAACAGTTAATGAATTAATTAATAAAAATTGAGAGTAGATGAAAATAATAGAATAGAATATTTAAGCTTTTGAAATTATTATATTTTTAAAATTGTAAGAAATAAATTGAAACAGAAAAAAATAGTTATTTTTCTACAAAAATTATAAAAGAGTTTATTTTCAGAAGAAGTTAATCGGGGTTCCGGTCAAAAAATACTATATTATACATATAATAATATTTTTATTGTATTGGCCAACGTTTCGACCTACGTTCATCAGGGCGACTCAGACGTCGTACTGTCTTTTGCAGTGCCAAATGGAAAGCCCTGAAGAAGACCTACAACGTTGGGCGAAACGTTGGAAAGTGCAATAAATATATTATTATATAATATAGTATTTTTTACCACGACCCCGACTAACTTATTCTGAAATTAGAATCTACGGTCAAACATCTCTATACCATTAAACGGTGTTTATTATTAAATGTTACAATATATCATACTAATATGTATTTCTACTATATACATTAATGTATACAGTATTTATGAATTAAATCAAATTCGCAACTATTAATGAAAATGAATAAATTAAAAATATATAGAAATTAATAAATAATTAGATATTGAAATAATTAAGTTAAGTTAAAATGAAATAAATAATTTTAATAGTCAGTGAATAAATGAATGAATATTTTTATTTGTTTTCGGGAAATTCAACGACCTCAATTCTAGAAAATTTGTCTGATGTTTAATAAAAAAAGTTCATGAGGAAGTCGGCATTGTTAATTTTGAATAACTTCCTATAATTCTATATGGTAGAGATAACGGATGCGAGTTTAAATCGGTCAGCGAACGAAAATATTTAAAAGCCCATCCTGTCAATTCAAATTACAGTGTCATTTTTTTTTTTTTGCCTTGAGGTAATAATGCATATAATTAAATGTTGATTTCAATCTAATCTAGGAACAATTTTTACATTCTACTTGGGAAACTCCGAACCCTTCTTTCCCCCCTTTTTAGGTCTTTATAGCCACAAAGAACGCGATCTACCCCAGTGACCTATACAAAGAGATAGCAAGAAGCCGAGACAACTTGCGTTCTGTGTGCGTGAACCTTCATTCTTTTACTATACTGGCTTGGCTGTCGTAGAGAATAATGATAGTGTAGATTCAAAGATGCATATAACCTAGTATTTTTTTATTTGCGAAATTTTCGACCAGACATTGCAGGAGTTGTTTGCAGAGAATCTATTATTACATTGGATGTTCAATATCGAATTTTCAGTGTGTTGATACGTTTTATTTAATTTTTTTACCGGACTAATTTCGAAAGAGTGTTGAGTTTCGATTGTGGGTAGAAGGCGTCATATTTTGTTTTAAATTATTTATTTTTATGCATCATTATTTATATAGGTAAAGGCAAAATTAAACGGGTCCTTTTTTTTCCTTTGTTTCTTAACCGATTTGCATTTTTTTTTTTTTTTTTGGCTACTTTGACGATCTTTACTACTATCAATAAAAATTAAATTGGAAACAGTGAGGTCAAATAAAATGTAAATGTTAGTTTGTTCAAAACCACTAATCTACGAAAGTTTTTCACTGATTATTCTGAAATATGGATATAGCGTTGCAATCAAATTCAAGAGTTTTTATATATACTTCATTACCATCCGGTCTTTTGTTTCCAAATGGCGACGGAAATGCGTGATTCGTTATAGCCTTTAACGTCAAAATGGCTATAACGATTTTAATGAGACTTGTATTAATGTTTTCTCCTTTAAACCCATTTAATTTATGTGTACTACATACTTTAGAATTTTACCAGCTAATAACTCAAAAAGTACACAATTTCTTGTCCATTAATCCTATAAATATCTGGAATCTTCCTGAACGCACTACAAAATAAAAATCGAAAAGAATCATTTCTCATAAGATATTTTATTCCATTTTTTTTTCGATTTATATTATTTAGGAAAACTATTATGACAAATTTATATTTGACATTTGCTAAAGCATAAGTACAATGTTCAAATGAAACAATTTTTACCGACCAAAGGAGCAATATTTCAATACTTCAAATATTTGTTTAAGGAAAAACTAAACTGAGATTACGGATTTGTATATCGCATCTGGAAAAATTCTCAAATAGGAATACTCTCATAGTAATCAAGGAAGAATCAGTTTATTTTCATAAGAGGGCGCTGCTCAATTATATTGAGTTGCTACAGACTCTGCATACTTATCCATCAATACGATGGACAATCCTTGAAACTAATATAAAAATATACAGTATCATCTGTATATATGAACATAGTAAACAATTTTTCTTTTACTTTTTTTTTTTATTAAATTCTATATCCTTTTCTTTCCCTTCCTTCCTTATACATTTCTGTTACTTTTCCTCATATATCCACTATCTCATCCTAGCCTAATTCATACCTCGAGATGACAAATTATACAATAATGATAAGAATAAAATGGTGCACAAACAATAAATAAAATTAATCCGTACATATATTATTACAGTAAGGCTCGAAATCGGTTTTGTACCAAATATAAGCTCCTGTTATGCTCAAATACCATGAATGGGGTACCGTTGGATTCAGAATTTCACGGTGGGTTAGCGAGTCGTATTCTCCGCTTTTGTTTTTCTTTCTAAAATAAATAAAGGCGATACAAACATTTTGCTAGGCTTCAATATTGGAGCGGTGGTAGGTCTGTAGATCGATGCGGGACAAATTGGACCTTGAAGATTTTGATGCGTACAGCAAGACTCCGGAACTATCGGATCCTGCGTTTTTAAGCCCAAAAACGTACTATTTTCGAGATAACGCAAGGCATGGGATTCTCATCCACACAACCTGACGTTAATTGTAGTACTGGCATTAGATACATGTCTCATTTCGTCGACTTGAGGTCACTATGATCGAGACAGGAGGAGTTTATATTATTTATCGATGGTGTTTTTGATCGGCAAGCCATATCATCGTTAATTCTTCACCAAATCTCAAGATTGAGCCACCAATTTCGAAGGCTTCCTTCTCCTTCAGGCGGGCAAAATAGTCCAATCATCCCCGAAAATTCAGGCAAATAAGTTATGAAAGAAAAGAAACTTGATTTGCGAATAACTAAAAAATTACACACTTTCCCTTAGTTATTCCTATGATTATATAAAACATTACTAAATTGTATATAAAAGGAAAACAAATCATTGAAATAGGAATATGTTTTTTCCAAACAAAAATGTGAATTTAAATTAATTTTTTTTCCTTTGTCGATTATATTTCTTGATAAAATAACAATTGATTACTTTATCTTTTGATACGTTGCATTATTTTATTTTCTAATTATTTGGCATTTGATAACAATATGCTGTGCGAATTTTTCGCACGGGCCTACTAGTATATATAAATACAGTAGGGGTGTTCAATAAATAATATTTTAAAAAAAGCCTCAAATTTTATCCGAATGAGCAAAGTGGATTCAAATATTTTTTGTTTAAAAATAGTAACTATGGATTCATATTTTTATTTGTCAATAACTCGAGATGTTCATAAATGCTACTGCACTGTTTTTTTTTTTCATATCTCATATCTATAGCTTATTTCATTCAAAGTACATATCTTTATATAGGACACCATGACACATTTTTTGTATTCGTTCATGAAGCAAATTTTTCATATCTTTAAGCTATTAAAATTAGTTTCTGCAAGGAGTTGATGAGTTTTACGCCTGTAAACAACAACAAAAAAACAAACAAAATTTGTTCCTTCGTTACTAAATTATTTAGTAAAAAATGGGCATGGTGTTCTTTTCCTATGGGGCACATATATAAAAATAATTTGAATAATTTTTAATAAATAATGAGTTAATATTTTTTTTTTTTATGATTGTTTTCCTATTCTTATATATATATATAATATATATAATATATATATATATATATATATATATATATATAAGAATAGGAAAAAAATGTTGGAAACATGCACATTAATTTACGTTTTCC